TTTTCAAGCCTCAAAATGAACCTCAAAGAGCTGTCTAGCAACTCTGTGGCCTCTCAATCTCACAATGATGCCTCCGGGAGTCATCAATGTACTGCTTTCACGAAATATAGTAAGCTTACATCAAAACATCTCTTCACACCCTGTACAAATCTTGCAATCCTTTTTTATTCAATAATTAAAGAAATTTTTGCATGGCAGGCCCATCATCCTCAATCATCGGGAAGATATAGCCGCGCTTTCTGAGTGAAAATAGCCAAGGTAGACCTCATTGATGTTGAATCCTTTGTAACTTGCAAATAATTTTGACTTATAGCATTTTTTTATTGTTATGTGCTACTTTGTGTGCTAGGGAAAAACAAAGATGGCCAAGATATAGATGGCACTGGCAGCCAAGTAACAAAACTAAAAAGTGTGCACCAACAATCAAGATATTATCCGATGTGAGATCAGTATACAGTCTATGAAAGGAACCGCACAAGAAAGCCTTGTTTACCCTTTAGCAGATTCAGCTATTACTTAAATTGTGAAACTGATGAAAATTCAAAAACATTTAGGGAAATATGTTTAAATTCATATGTCCACCTTCTTCAAAAGAGCTGCCATTCTACTTTACCACCTCCATAATGCTTTTTTATGCATGATGCATCCAAAGGAGCTCTGAAAAGGGTGAACACTTGAATGAACCATTAATTATGCCAAGCTCAAACTCCAAAGCATCTTGATGGGGACATCGATAAGAGGTTTCGACGCGTCTATCAGAGGCGATACAGGAGATCGATGGCCATGATGGAGAATATTTAATTTTGATGCATTTTAAGTATTAGTTATTTTATTTTAGTCTTTTTTCCGTTTTTTCCCTTATGGGTAATTCGTCACTATTGTAGCCCAAGGGGCATTCTCGTCTTTTAATTTTTTGTCATTGTGAGGCCTATATAAGTGGCCATGTCTTATGTATTGGATGATGATTAATGAATGAAAATTTGTTTGTTTCTTCTTCTTCTTCTTGCATGAGAGCTAGAGAGAAGGAAGAGAGAGCTAGAGGTGAGCTAGCACAAGGCCCACCAGTCGTTGGAAGAATCCGCGGCTCACTTAACTCCTCTTAATCTCCCCCCCCCCCCCCCTCTCTCTCTCCAGCCGCCGGCCTACTAGGGCCCTCTCCATTTAATGCTTACTTAAGGCATTAATTTCAAGTTAATTTGAAATCAAATTTCGAATTATTCTCACCCCAATTTCATTCAAATCCTGAAATTAATTTCAGGTTTTGGAAATAAAACCCCCATCCCCTCTCTCTTGAACCCGCCGGCCCCCAATAATGTGCTCTCCCAATGTTTCCTATTGAAGCCTCAACTCAAATTGGATTTGAAATCAAATTTCAATTTGATTCCCTCCAAGGTTAATTAAATCTAAAACTTATTTCAGATTTATTTCAGGTTTACTGAAATCTGATTCCAAACCCCAACCTCCCTTCCCCCTTGAAGCCGCCGGCCCCTCTCCCTCCTCCTCAAGCCGTCGACTTCTCTCCCCACCACCATCTCTCTTTTTCTTCCTCCTTGCGTACCTTACTTCTCAAGCTTATGATGAATGGCCGATCCCGATGTTGATCATGGTTTCGCCTACAACGATCGTGGGGAGATAGACATTCTTCTCTCTCCTTTCTACAACCTCGATTGGGAATACGACGAGACAATGGAAAGATACGTCAAGCGCATCCTTTATTTCTTAGCACATACGATCGATCTTCAAAAGCCTAAGACGCCTTGGCTTCTCGTTGGGAGATCCACCGCTTCTCCGTCCGTGGCTACCGCTCCATCAACGAAGACCTTTGGTACTATCTTCCTAGTGGCAATTTCTCTCATCGTATGCTTCATCCTCAACCGCTAAGCCGTACTTTGAGTGTGAGTGAGTATGGTAACTCATCGTGAACTTTCTAAACATTAACCGTGGGATTTTATTACAACATATTAGTTTTTACTGAGATAATTTCAGATCTATCTTAATTTGTTCTAAATTTCTAGTCTTGTAATTGCTTACCATAATAAAATTGACGATTGAGAGTTCTTTTATCTCGCCTTACGAAACATTGTTCTTAAGTAGCAAGCATCGTGTATCTTTTAATATTTCTGTGCAAGTCTTATTTGTCTCACATCACATCTTGTATTTGGAAAAAGCTCAGCTGCATGAACAGTACCAGATTTACTGTAACTGATATGTTATTCACATAATGATTCAACAATTGTTTAAGAAAATGCTCTAGGATAGCATCGTGTACTATCTTACCTTGTTACCTAATTGTGGTTTACACGCATAAGATCTTCATTTCTTCCAACAGAAATTATAGCTTTGTGCAAAACTGAGCTATGCTTTCTTTGTTGTGAATTATGATAATTTGTGGAGCCTAATTTTTGTCCTAGGAAGAAAATGCTCTATACAGACTTAGTTGTAGGTTGCTTCAGGGGTTGGAAGGATATCGGGCTTAGCGGCAAAGCTCATGAAAGGTTTCCAATATTTGTATTTATTTTATTAAGAGTATTTTGAGAATTTTATTATATTTTTTTAGCTATCCTAGGTTTTCTTCTCATAAAGAAGGGGATCATCTTATATCTCCCTGAGATATTAGGGTTGTAATTTAATACAATCAACCACATCAAAATTTACAATGGCGGCAGCAAAATATAGCCATCAATTGGGTGAACCTATATAAAATTCTTGCTTTTTTTTTAACTATCTATTTTTTCTATTTTTTCACTCTGAAACCTATAATTTCCAGCAAATTATAGTTTGAACACATTAGAGTACTAGTCACCAAGTTGAACCTAATACAATAGTAGCCACCAACCTATTTGACTCTACATCTTAGTCCCTAAGGATGAACTCTGATCACTATTGTATCGACACTATATCATTTGTTCATCTAGCTAATGTGGAATTAAACCCAAAACTCTACCTTACCAATAAATATGAGAATTCATGATGATGCGATAATGTATGCTTCAAAGCCAAATTTTGCTAAGCTTTCCATGCATTCTCACTTCACAGCTACCATGGCCCAAACTCAAAATAGAAACTTAAAAGCATCATAAAAGTGTTAAAGGACTGATAAAAACAATAATAAAAAGTAGAAATGTATTAGCAGTTTAACAAAGAATAGAGAACAAAACTTCTTAAAAAAATCTAAATGTAAATAAGGCACATCTTCGGAGATCAGACTCTCATTTCATTCACCACAAAAACTAGTTCTCACGATACATTTTCGAGAACAACATAACTTAGCAGTACAAACCATAATGTCAATTAAACTGATCAACAACATAACTGTAGCAATCGATCCTTAATTCTATACGATTGGAATGAGATGGATTTTTTTTTTTTTTTTTTTTTTTTTTTGCAAATCACTAATACTCTATCTATAGTCTCCAAAGAGCTATCGACAAAATAAACATTAAAAATAAAAATTAATTGAGAAAACAAAAGAAACTGATTAGTAATAGCAGATAGCAGTCTAAACAATGCAGGAAAAAAAAATTTCATACCATTAAATTTGAGATTAATCAAACAAAGCTGCATCAACTCACTCAACCAGCAAAAAGATGGTAAAAAGACAAAAAAAAGAACATTTTCCTTCATGGATGAGCACTAAGAATGAAGAAATAAACCATCCTAAAAGTGCTGAAGAAATATTGTCAAATTTTGGAATATCTCATTAATTTTGAGAATAAATTAGACTAACAGTACTAGCACAAATATAAATAAAACCACCCAACTATACTACAGCTGAGATTCCACCACAAATAAACCGGATTCCTCAGAGAAAAGTCAATATTTTATCCATGATTGAGCAGAGAGATGGACAGATCAAAAAGTTAGGAGAGTACAAACGAAGACAAAAGAGGATCTAACGCCAAAATGTCAAAAAGTTACGGATGCATTCATGTAAACTAATTAAAGAAAAACTACCAATCAAGGCATTAGATACCTAACCCACAAACAAAAGAAGGTACAAACCCAATAATAAGATTAAATTTTTCCATTACTGGACAATGGATGATGCCTAATATGGAAAGATAACAATAACTAAAGGTGCCAGGAAACAGAGAAAACAGGTCAAAACTTGAAACACCCAAACAGATCACGATAATAAGATGAGAAAACCATAAAGAATTAGAGAATTAATTATGGTAACAGTACAACTATAAATTAAATGCGATCACTTAACAATCTTCACACCAGCAATTGTATCTAGCCCTTCCGCCTCAGAATAGCCCGAGGGAACCTTAGAGAAGAGCAAATAGCTTCAGCCATGAAGAAGCAGAGATATAAAGATCACAAAGCCCAAAAATGATATGAAAATAGAAAGAAATAATGATGCATAATCAAGCAATCAACATTAAGTGCCTAACAAACATAAGTCCAACAACGTTCATGAAGAAGATTAAATCTTTCCATCACTGGATAATGGCTAATTTGGAAAGATTTGAGGTAGACGAAATCGAAGCAAAAGAGCCAAACTTCAACAAAAAAAAAATCCAACCTACTAATATTAAGCCATCTAGAAAAAAAAATTACTTTTTTTAAGAATCTAGAAAAAGAGACCACAATCACCGAGGTTGAGAAAAGCACACTTGTATTAAACTTATTGTAAAGAGATCTGCGACAAAAATGACGCATTATCATAAACTCACCGAACAAAAACTACCAAGACATTTATTACTCAACTCACAAACAGAAGCCGAACCGAATCCAAAAAGACTAAATACTTTCTTTACTGGATAATGGCCAGTTAGGAAACTTTACCCTAACAATAAAGGTTCCCGGATGCAGAGCAAACAAGTCAAAATTTTACGCAACGGCACAGATCAAAGATCAGAAGGTGAGTAAAATACCAAGAACCTAAACTCCTTCCCGCAATCATCAATCCAACCTCCAAAAAATCACCCATTAAAAAGAAACAACCTCTAGAACAAGATCCAATCCTCTGCTCAAGTTAAGAAAAATCCACTTACATAAACTTGGTACCAAGAGATCTGTGTAGGGCCTCCAGAGTTGCCAAGAATAGCACCTCATCCGATACCACATCTTCATAGCTTGCCGTGGCCTCTGTAGCAGTTGGCTGAGCCGAATTAACCGGAGGTTGGGATTGGATTGGGACCGCCGCTAATGGCGGAGAAGTTGTTATCGGGGAAGACTGGCCCTTGTCAACAGACATGATTATATTTTAACAAGAGAGGTAAAGAGCTAAAAAATAACAGAATGATGGACGGGTTGCCCTAACAAATCTTGATGCTTTGAGTTATGATGTGGATGTATTTATTGTATTTACATGATGTTGTATTAAATTATTAATCATTAATGTGACATGAAAATTGAAAATTAGGGTTAGGGTAAAGAAAATCTATAAATATAAGAGAAAAATAGTTTTGGAGATAAGATCTGATTTTATATATATTTTATGATTACTTTAATTTAATTTAAAGGTTAAGTTTGTTTAACTCTGTCTAAGAATGGGCAAATTTTTATGTCCGGTCATCGGACGTATCTCTACGTACGGATACCAATAAAATATTATTTTAAGTCAAGCGAGTCAAAAGCGCAGGTATAGCACAGGTAAAGCGCAGTCAAGCGCAATTAAAGCGTAGATAAATTGCAATCAAAGCGCAGTTAAAGTGCAGTCAAAGCGCACCTAAAGCGCAGTCAAAAAGCACAACCAAAGCACAGTCCACGTAGCAAGTTTTTATTGGATGTCCGGACCTATTTTTAGATCTGATGACTGGACCTAATAATTTTCCCTAAGAATGGTGAGTGATAGAACACTTCAGTTTAAAATATAATTATTATTTTTTTCTTTTTTATAGGCTATGGAATCTCATTTATTCAATTTTGCAAAAATTTATAATTTTTTAGGGTTTTAGAATCAATTCTGATGTAAATTATCGGCAGTGCGCAAACTTCTATTAGATTCGAAAAAGAATTTTTTTGGATTTGGGTCGAGATGGATAGAATATCAATAGTGAAATAGAAGTCTGATTATTCAAACAGAAAAATGAATAAAACTTTTAAATTATAATTTTATTTTTTGCAATTATTATAAATTAAATTACTTTCAATTTGGTACAAATAAAATTAATTTATTTATTCAAATTAATTCTTTTTTTATGTAATTGATAGTATTAGTAAGTGTATAAATTAAAGCTTCGTTTAGGATAGCTTTCTTATTACTTCTTAAAACAACTTTTTAGTACAAAAAATTAAAAAAATTTGTATTAAAAAGCTGTTTTAAGTAGCAATAAGAAAGTCACCTCAAACGAAGCCTAAATTTAATATGAAACTTTTTAGTTTCAATTAAATGGCTCCAAATATATGATGTATGTTAAATTTTGAAGTTTGACAAATTTATTCGGCTTATTATGGCTCAAAATATTATGGCTTCGCTTAGGACGACTTTCTTACTATTTTTAAAGCAACTTTATGTTACAAAAGTTTTTTGAATTAAAATTTTTTGTACTATAAAGCAGTAAGAAAGTCATCCCAAACGAAGCCCAAATCTTCAACCTTCGTCCCATCATCGTCACAAAAAAATTGCATTTAAAATGAGAATTTATTGATTTGTGTTCAAATATTATGAATGTTGGGCTGCTTAAAGAATAAATTTGACGAATTAATGAAAA